CATCTCCTGGGTTCAAGTGATTCTCCAGCCTCAGCCTCCCGAGTAGCTGGGATTACAAGCGTGCACCACCATGCCTGGCTAATTTTTGTATTTTTAGTAGAGACGGCATTTCACCATGTTGACCAGGCTGGTCTTGAACTCCTGACTTCAAGTGATATACCTGCCTCAACTTCCCAAAGTGCTGCGATTACAGGTGTGAACCACCATGCCTGGCCAGGATTTCATAACTTTTGAGTTTATCTGGGGATTTCATAGGTGGATAAAATGGTACCTCTGTTACTCACTGGGAACCTCAAATTCGGTCTGCTTCATCAGGGAAGACAATGATTGACATTCACCCTGTGTTATGAGCTGATTTGCATCCCCCTAAATTCCTATGTTGAAGTCCTAACCCCCAAGTACATCAGAATGTAACTGTATTTGGAGAAAGTCTTTAAAGGTGTAATTAAGTTAAAATGAGGTCTTTAGGGTGGGCCCTGATCCAATATGACTGGTGTCCTTACAGAAAGAGGTGATTAGGACACAGGCATACACAGAGAAAAGACCCCGTGAACACACAGCCATCTGCAGGCGGAGGTTGCAGTGAGCCGAGATCGTGCCACTGCACTCCAGCCTGGCAACAGAGCAAAACTCCATCTCAAAAAAAAAAAAAAGAAAGAAAGAAAGAAAAAAAATATGTTCCTATATCTAACGGTATTTCTCTATTTCTGTATTGAAGATTTATCCAAGTAAAACCTAGGTTGCCTTCAGTTCCTATTTCATCTCATTCTCCATAGAAGTGAGGAACTGTCCTTTCCACTGTCTGTAGGACATTTCTTTGAATCTAGCACAGAAGTATAAGAACATAAACTGCTGTGGGTTAAGCCACCTAGTCTGTGCTACTTTGCTATGGCAGCCTGAGCAAACCAGTGCACCCTTCAGCACCCTGAAATGTAATTATGTAATTGTAATTTAAAATGTAATTTTAATTTAATTTAAAATATTAAAATACTTCCTGAGTCATCTGCAAAGGTCAGTCAAAACAGAGACTCAGCTTTGCTTGCACCAGCATTTTCAGGAAAACAGCTACGTGGTCAAGAATACGTGACTTGGAAGTACCTTTTCCCAGATGTTGAGTTTTCTTTCCAACAAATGAATTCTAATCTGTGAGAGCGAAAAGCTTGTTGATTTAGACTAATCCTCATGGTGTTACAGTTGTGAATGATGCATTGATATTTGATGCTTGCACAATTAAAAGGCTGACACTCTGACAGCTTGTTCTCCTAAGAGGAGCAAGTGTATGCAGAAATGTCAAGAAGATACTCAACTTGGATGAGAATCAAGCTGTGTATTTCCTTATGTTTTTCTGTAGAGGTGACCTGAGCCAGCGGTTAGGCAGGACTAAAATCCAGGAAGGAAATTCTGCCACTGTGTGAATTTGGGCGACTAGCTGCATCTTGGATACCAAATGAGACAAGGAGCAGCATTTTCAGGCTTGACACAGAACATGAACATCAGCCTTCTGCCTTCTGTTCTCCACAGACCAGCTCTGTGTCCACATGAGGATTCATGACCCAACATCCTCGTCAATACAGTAGGACTTACAGACTGCTGTGAGGATTAAGTAGAATCATACATACAAGAACTATGTAAACAATGTAAAATAAATTATAAAAACTACACGAATGTAAGTTATCATTAATATTGTTGAATTAGATGGAAGATTACTGGACCAGTAATCGAGATTTCAAATTCTATGACCAATGTCCCTTTCTACATGTATGTTATGCTTGCATTAAACATTGATTTAAAAAAAGATTCCTAATTCTGTCTCTGCTATAAATTAGTCTGGGCCCACTTACTTCTTGGGGCCTTAGTTTCCTCATCTGTAAAACAAAGGTGAACTGTATTATCTTATGTTAGTTGGAACATGCTAAAATTCTATGACCTATTTCTTATTACTCCATGTCTTGATAATACATAACATATTTTTTAAATGGGTATTTTGATATATAGATAGGGACACATCTCTTTGATGTGAAATGCCTAAGGTACCAAAGAACAAAAAGGGGTTTTGAGGTTCCTGGCTCTTTTGTGACTAGATTATACAGGGAATCCCAAATGATTTATCGGGTTTTATGAGGGAACCTTTGGCTGGGAGACACTCTAGAAGATAAAAGTATTCTGTAAATTTCAGGTATAAAAGAAATACAGGGCTCCAAGTACAGCTTCCCCCTTGTGTGATTCCCCCAATGTGATTCTTACGAAAATTCAGAACACAGTTTTGTCGACCCTAAAGCCAGGCTTGAATCTGGACTCTGCCTATAATTCTGCTAGCTACGAGATCGTGGGCAATTTCTTTCCCTCTCTATGTCTCAGCCTCTTAAACAGGCATAATGAGAAGTGCACAGTGCCTGTCTGCCACATATCATCATCATCATCATCATCACCATCAGGGCTCAGTACATCAATCAAATCTCTGCTCTGCTCTATTCTTTGGTTTATATTATCAATGACTAGGGGCATGTTTAACGTATTTGTTAGTGCCCAGCGTAATACTGTGCACACAAAGGCATTTACAGAACCATTTTGAGGATGAATGCAGGATTCAAAGAAATGTCCTACAGACAGTGGAAAGGACAGTTCCTCACTTCTATGGAGAATGAGATGAAATAGGAACTGAAGGCTACCTAGGTTTTACTTGGATAAATCTTTAATACAGAAATACTGTTAGATATGAGAACATATTTTCTTTTTCTTTCTTTCTTTTTTTTTTTTTTTGAAACGGAGTTTTGCTCTGTTGCCAGGCTGGAGTGCAGTGGCACGATCTCGGCTCACTGCAACCTCCGCCTCCCAGGTTCAAGCAGTTCTCCTGCCTCAGCCTCCTGAGTAGCTGGGACTACAGACGCACACCACCAGGCCCAGCTAATTTTTGTATTTTTAGTAGAGATGGGGTTCACCATGTTGGCCAGGATGGCCTTTATCTCTTGACCTTGTGATCCACCCACCTTGGCTTCCCAAAGTGCTGGGGTTACAGGTGTGAGACACCATGACTGGACTTTTTTTTTTTTTGGAGATGGTGTCTCTCTCTGTCGCCCAAGATGGAGTGTAGTGGCACGATCTTGGCTCACTGTAACCTCCACCTCCCGGGTTCAAGTGATTCTCCTGCCTCAGCCTCCCAAGTAGCTGGGATTACAGGCGTGCGCCACTACACCCAGCTGATTTTTTTATTTTTAGTAGACATGTGGTTTCACCATGTTGGCCCCTATTTTCTTATTCTGTTGTTTGTAATAGATATTTAAAATATTACATACAAACAAGCAACTTTATTCTACCTACAGTATTGAAAACCTGAAAAATATAGAAAACAATGAAGAAGGAAAATCACACCCATATTATAATGCCTACAGATGAACAGTTTTGATGGGAGCCTCACCATG